GTCTGACATACTTTGGGCATGTTGCAAGGAGAGACAGGTCCTTGGAGAGGGACATCATGCTTGGGAGGATGGAGGGACGGCACAAGAGGGGAAGACCCTCTATGAGGTGGATTGATTCAGTGAGTGGGGTAATCGGGATGAGTGTGTCAAAGGCAATGCGATTGGCACAGGATAGAGCAGGGCTTAGGGCTGTTGTACATAGGGTCGCTATGAGTCGCAGATGACTCAACAGCACATAACAACAAAACAACACCACTCATAGCAACTCTGTGAACAACAATTCTGAAACTTGCACTATCCTGTGTCACCCTCACCATCTCTGACACACTTTAGCTCATTGTTACAGTCACTGTGTCAAGCCATCTTGTTGAGGGTCTTTCCCTCTTACACGAACATTTCCAAATATGATGCTCTCCTCCAAGGACTGGCCCCTTCTTACAACATGCCCAAAGTATGTGAGATGGAGTTTCAATGTCCTTGCCTCCAAGAATTATCCTGGTTTCACTTTCTCTGGTAGTCCATAGAATATTCAACACTCTTCTCCAATACCTCAAAAATATTGATTCTTCTTCTTAGTAATTCTTAGTCTATTTTTAGATGAGTAGTAAGTGCATGTATGCAAAAGATCATGGTCTGAATCAGGTTGGCTTTAGTCTTTAAGTTGACATTGCTTTTTGGTACTCTGAAAAAGTCCTTGACAGCAGAGTTTCCCTCTTCAATATCTCTTCTGATATTCTGACTGCTGGTATCAAGGGTGTTAATTGTAGATGCACATAAGAGGAAATTGCTGACAATTTCAATTTTCCCCCCCTCCATCTGTCATGATGTTGGTTATCAGTCCAGTAATTCTCGATTTCTTAATGTTGAGATACAACCCATATTGACACCTATAATCTTTGATCCTCTGCAGTAAGTGTTCAAATTCTCACTTTCAGCAAGCAAGGTTGTGCCATCTGCATAAGGCAAGTAGCTGATGTGATGCTGCATTCAAATAAGCTTATGAACATTAGGGAAAACAGAATTAACAATAAGAGAAAATCATAATGAAAAATATAATTTTGTTAGCCCAAGAAATAACCTTCTGAAACTGAAATTGCCTGTTTGGAAGTCCTAAGTCCAATATTGATACAATTGGATTCTTTGGAGCTATACTGAATTTCTGAAATTCTGTGAAGCAATAAAATAGACCTTACTAAATCATGTGTTCTGGATCACATTACTTCTTGATCACTACAAAAGCTGTCTTTAATTTTAAACAGAGAAAATGAAAAAGGAGTCACTGTAAGTTTGTAGTGAAGCAGACAGACAGAGAGGAATTGATATAAATTCTACATTAGTTACAGGGCTTAAGTTTGGAAAATATTGCCCCTATCTCTAAATAACTGATCTAAGTTTCTCTAAGACATAAACTTTCATTACCAAAATGAAAATATTAATAGCACATACTCATTGGGATCTTTGAAGGACTTAATGATGTAACTTATGTGGAAGGTTTCCCTCAAGTATAAGCTTAAATAATGATATAAGCTGCTGGGTGTATACACACATCAGCAACTCACTCACACTCTGAATAACTCACGCTGAAATGGCTTTTGCTCAATTTTCTGTTGTTTCTTCCTACAGGTCAATGGGAAGTAATTGGACCAGATAAGCCTGTGAAGGCCTTGGCTGGGAAGGATATAGTGTTTTCCTGCTTCCTCTCTCCTGAGACAAGTGCAGAGGATATGGAAGTGCGATTCTTCAGGAGTCAGTTCTCTAACGTGGTTCATATCTACAAGAAAGGGAAAGACCAGAAGTATATGCAGATGGCAGTTTATCAAGGAAGAACTGAGTTAATGAAGGACTCCATCACCAAGGGTCATCTCTCCTTGAGACTGAAGAAGGTCACATCCTCAGATGCTGGTGTATATGGGTGCTGGTTCAGTTCCCAGACTTATTACCAGGAGGCCACTTGGGAACTGCAAGTGTTAGGTCAGTTGTTTATGTTAGAGAACTCTATAACAGATATCACATAGAATGATCCTAAGCTTTTAAGTAGCTTGTCTATTAAAGAGGGTTTGTTGGTTTTGTTTTGTTTTCTAATCTTAGATTATGTAGTTAAGAGACATCATCTGACACTTTTAGTTCACTCTGTATCATATGTATACTTTGATATAATTTTGTAACTTGGGCATCATGTGACTAATGCCACATGATATACAGAACTATTTCATCATAATTAAAGATCTCCCTCTTGGTATTATTTTCTATTATCATTCACCTTTTTTGCTGTCTGTCATCTTGAACCTCTGGCAACTGTTAATCTCTTCACTTTCTCTATCATTTTGTCATTTGAAGATTACTAAGTACAGGGAGCTCTGGTGGTTTAGAGGTAAGGAGTTGTGCATTCAACCCAAAGGCATGTGGTTTTAATCCACCAGCTACTATGAGGAAGCAGACTTTCCCAATGCAATACATCTTTTGATTTCCTGGCTGTTGGTACCAAGAGTGTTGATTGTGGAGACAAGGAAACTAAAGCTGTTAACAATCTCAATCTCTTCACCATCTATCATAACACTGCCAGTCAACCTAGAGGTGACAATCTTTGTTTCCTTGATGTTGAGCTTCAATCCATATTGAAATCTTCATACAGTTCTTGACCTTATGCAACAAGCGCTTCAGGTCCTCCTCAGATTCAACAAGCAGGGTTGTGTTATCGGCATAGTGCAGGCTGTTGATGAGTCTTCCTCCAGTCCTGATGCCACATTCCTCCTCATACAGCCCAGACACCTGAATAGTCTTTTCTGCATATAGATTGAAAAGGTATGGAGATAGAACTCATCCCTTGCATACACCCTTCCCAATTTCAAACTAGGCTTTGAAACATCCTTTTCTGTTCTGACAACTGCCTCCTGGTCCAAGTATAGAATTCACATTAGCACAATCAAATGTTCTGGAATTCCCATTCTTCTCAGAGTCAACCACAGTTTGTTGTGATCCACACAGTCAAACATACTTTGGGCATGTTGCATGGAGGGACCAGTCCTTGGAGAAAGACATCATGCTTGGAAGGGTGGAGGGACAGAGAAAGAGAGGAAGACCATCGATGAGATGGATTGATTCACTAACTGAGGTAATGAGGGTAGGTATATCAGAGACAGTAATGTTGACTGGCACAGGGAGCAGTTTTCAGGGCATATGGTCACTATGAATCTCAAGCAACTCAATGGCACATAACAATAACAACAACAACACAAGGCATGTGGTTCAAAGCCACCAGATGTTCTGCTGGAAAAGGAGGAGCAATCTCCTCCTGTGCCAGTCAGATACGATTGGACAGTACACAACAAGAAAACAAAAAAAAAAAAAAACCAAAAACCAAGAAAACAAAACCACCACAACAACTCTGAAGAAGAAAGGTCTTCGTGTGCAATTTACTGCCTCTGAAAAACACTGGAGGCTCAGCGGTGAGTTACTTCTAACTCAATGGTATATAACAACAACATAGCTGAAGAGTCATATTGTATGTGACATTTATTTTCTCACTCAGAATATTGCCCTTGAGAGCCATCTAATTTGTTGCTTACATCAATATCTTTTTTGGGTTTTGTATTGTTTAGTAGTAACTATGATATAGATGTACTAGTGCATATATTTTTTAAAAAATTATAAAAATATTTTCTAA